CAACAAAAGGCTGTCCTACAGGGACTTCTTTTCAACATAAACTAACAAACCTGCGCATATGTGAACGTGCTTTAGCGCTTGGCACAGAGAGTAAAAAACAAAGCCTCTGCTGCTTTAAGGACAATGTATTTTTTTGTATTAGCTTAAGAGAACATGAAAGCTGTCACAAGAGCTGGTGTAGTTTTTCACAATCCTGCAGAATTCATCTTGACCACAAGGATATATCTGAAAACTGCATCAGAAAGATAGCACAGATCTTGTTTCCAAAAAAAAAAAAAGAAAGCAATTGAGTCATTGACTCAAATAGGAGTACAATACATTTCCTGGCATTGCTACTGAATATTTATATCAGTGACGAATGAGACTACAAACGAAATATCTTAACATGAAGCTTTGCCTTGTTAACTGCATGATATGCCAAAACACCACCTACTGTAAATCACACGGTTTAAGACCAGTATTTCTTGTTTAAACATGCTACTTGTTCAGCAGAATCACTTGTGTGAACAAGCATACATTAATGTAGGCTAACTAGCGCAGTTTCACTATCCAACTGATAAAGTATAATTTAACAACCTCATTATCAGCATTGTAATTTTCAGACTGCTGAAATATCATATTCGTCGCAAATATTATATGGTTGAAACACTTTAACAACATTGCCCATTTGACACTTCTGTCAGATAAAATGCAGATAGGCACTTGTGCATTGATGAACATGCTTTTAATCCTATAAAGAAACTTTCTCTGTCAAATTATAGACATTTCAACACTTGATTTATGAATACCATAATTAAAATCCTTGTGCCTTAAAGAAAAACAAACTCTTCATTATAACAACAGCTTTCTTTCATGGTTTTATCTTTTTTTATATTTGGAGTTTGCTTTTATGTGCTGCTATTAACTATCCATTCAGTATGTCATTTCTGACAGCCAGAACCAAAAAAGAGCATTTTTCTTTACAACCTGGTCAAACCTCAAAGTTTAGGTAAGCACCCAAAGCGATTAGTGTTTATTTAAAGCTTCCACAAAGGATTTGGAAGGGGGGGGGGGTAGGAGGGGGAAATCTGTTAATTTAACAGGTGGAGGACAACCATCACACAATTCAGTGCTTCTCATTTCTAAGAAGGCCAGAAATGCTGTAAAGTCTGCCAAAATATTTCTTTCTCTTGTCAAAACCAGTAGTTTGGAGTGATACAACTTAAAAAAAAATGCACCTGTATTTTCATATGTATTTGTGTAATGATTCTGGTTCAATTTAAATTTTAGACAGATCTCTGAAAGGGGAAGGAATTTCTATTTTATCTGAACAAATTAATGCATATCATTCATTATTTCTTACAGCATCCTTCAGCAAAACCACAGTAGGTTTCAGCTTCCTAAACTCAATGCAATTCAAAATTATACACAATCTCCACTAAAACTACCATTACTGAAAGTGATGCAGTTACACATTAGCATCCCTTCTCTCATCTCTGTCCCTAAATTCCAGAAAAGAACAATTCATTTACAAGCTAAGCAAGTAACCTTGGAATCAAATCCTGAAGCTTGTCAAGACTAGGATCTCCTAAACTATCAATAAGAAACTAATTTCAAAAGGGGGAAGCCCCAAATCGAGGCATTGCTGCTTAAGTCCTGGCCCCTTTTACCTAGCTTTGTAACATATTTGTTTTGCAATTTTACAAACATCTGGAAAAAGAAACTAAAAGGAATAATGGCTGAAGAAGGTCTCCCCAACGGGCCTCATTCGATTCCACAGGGCTATCTGACTTTTGGCCACTAACTCCAAAAAGTAAAGAAGTTCCTGAACTCAGCATTACATGAAGCTGAAAAGCTTACTGTGTAAAAGATCAGAAGAAAATACTATACTTGCAAATAATAAAGACAACTGAATTGAACTACATTACTATTGCTCAGCGGAGGGGCTGAAAATTCACTCCTCCAATATCATCTCTAAGAATATAACAGATGAATTTTGTTATCCTTCTAACAAGCCGTTGTAATGCTCGACGGGGATAAAACAGATCATGCTGCCCTCTTGTGCTAGACATGCACAGAAATCAACCCCTTTTTTTCTGCAAGTGGCATGTGAAGAGGAATATATAAAGCATTCACTATGAAATAGAAAACGTCCACATCTTCCTACCTTACAGATACTTTGACGTGCATGCCACTCCCTTACTGACATATGGACAGAAGAGCAAACAAGTTGCAAGAGAGCCAGAATCCACACTCAAAAAAAAACTAAAACAAGTTCTGTCAGCAAATGCAAACGAGTCAGATGTGATAATGCCCAAAGTACTAACACTTAAACTACCCATCAAGCTTTTACTACAGTTTTAGTTGCTTTTCACTATAGTTGATGCTGTATAGATATCTGTTGATAAATTTGAATTGCAGTCAGAAATACCTGGTAATTTTTTCTGAATGCTGGATAAGACAATACGCTTTAGTCACTTAGAATTATCATCTTAACAGAGTTAGGGTTAAATGCTTAAGAAAGAAAGAAATTGACAGTCGTTTATTAGCAAGATTCTTCTGATGCAAAGCATGCAGTAATGTTTAACTATTTTTAGACCCATGCCAAATTACAGAAATGTGAAATCTGTGTACACACAAATATTTTGGGGTGGGAAGGGAGAAAGGAGAGGGGTCCTCATATTTCTCTTCTCTCTCTGCCATGTAATCCAGGTTCCAAAAATACACTGAAATTCTTCTATCATCTGCATAACTATTCCCTTCACAACCTTCCCCTCCCTATATACTGCTACTGCAATCTGTAAAGAGAGATCTTGGGCTCATGCCTAAACTGCTTCTGAAAACACGATTTTTTTAGAAATAAATCATCTCATTTATTCACCAAGACTGATTGGATCTACACTGTTGGGAGCTGACAGACATGTCATGATTCACCACATATTTCCATTTCCTAATGTCGACTCCCTGATGCTGCTCATTACTATGTTTCCCCAGTACGAACTACCAAGAGCTTGGGATGTCTATTTATTTAAGTTTCCTTCCTCGACTTTGGAACACACATCACTGTGTGTTCAAAATACTAGCCATGGCATTTTTTAATTGCTGATTGTTTTTTGACAAATAAAACAGCAAAATCACTTCAGCAATTGCTTTTGCTAAGGTCTTTGAGACCTCACACAAATATTAAGAACATGCTGAATGCTTAAATAACAGATTTGACATTGCAATATCAGCGTTGCTAATATGGGATATGATAACTAATAGTTTGGTTTGACTATTACAAACACAAACCTTGAAAAAGGAGCATTTAATAATTTCAATTTCTTTTTAGTATGTCTTTCATAGCCAGGCATATTAAAAAAGATAGGAAAAAAACCACAAAAAAATACATCCTGCCTCAATGCAAAAAATAGCACGTGAAGTTCTAAAAGATAAATACACAGTAAGAAATCCATATAAAGCAGACAATGAAATACAGATGTTACAAATGGGATTTCAGAATTGCTACATGCTGCAGTTCCGAACAAGAGCATTGTCTCACATGTCATCTCTTCCCTTTTATTTTTCCCTTTCTCAAAAGATGTGTACATCAGAACAGCAGTACCTTCGCATGCGACCATGACCAAAAGAAAGATGAAGGGAAAGAAATATACGTATCCTGAGGTTAATCTTTTATTATAACATATCTGCTGATTTATAGAAACACACATCTGTCAGTCACAACAGTGTGTGAATACCAGCAATAGGCAAGTTTTATGAACGTCGGTTTTACAGTGCACTGCTAATTTGAGCTTCGCAGTATGTTATAAAGCGAACTGGTATTACTCTACGTTGTTGCTGATGTTTACTCTGTAGTTCTTACTTTGTTATGACGAGCCAGGTTTATGGGCAATCTTACATGATGATTATTCCCTCAAAAATACAGTTACTGCATATGTGGCACACACATACACGAGTGAGAGAGAAGAGGAAAATCCTTGCCTATCTGACAACAGCCCACATCGGCACTATGATTTCTTCTGATGTACGGGCTCTCGCTAGCTCTCCACTACCTGTCACTTGAGCTTATGGCTTCCCTTCTAATCCTTTGCAGTGGCCTTGAATTTACATTGCCACAGACTCCCAGTGCCAGCAGGCCATGTAACACAGCCTTAAATTTCTGCAGTTGCAGGGTTTTTTTAAAGATTAAACTGTACTTATTTTATTCATCATATCATTGTCATGAACCTTTTCTCAACATGAGTATTTTTTTCCTGAAAATATTAACTAATTTCTCTGAAACAACAAAGACATCCCTATATATCCTTACAATCACTAAACACCTCCTGGAGCTATAAGAACAAGCCAACATCCCTTTTTTTTCCAAGGGAGTGAAGACCATCAGATTTCTGTTTCTCATGTAAGAGAGAAAGCAGTGGCTAGATCAATCAGTACCACTTGCAACTCTCTTCACTCTGCTCCAGCTTTTTTCCCATTTCTTTGGAAGAACATAAGAATCTGGATTACAGTTTTAAATTGCAATCTTTATTTACCCTTTTGTGCATTATGCAAGGACTGTAAGTTAGGCAGTTTCTCAAAATTATGCATTACCACACATGCTTAAAATTATTTTTTAAAAGGACAAATAATTCACAGGGTTAAGCTTTCAAAGAAAAGCCCACGAAAGGTATCCCCAAAAAACACAGGCATACACATTCAATGTATTGAAGATACCCCGTGTAACTGAATCAGAAGAGCAATGAAAATACAAGTCAATGTACACCACCAAAGTTACTGATAATTCATTGTTCTGTAGGCTGCATTTGGAGACAGTAAGGTGAACCATCAATAAGCAATCTGAGTTTTAAATTTAAAAAACTACACTGTAGAGTGTTTAAGTAAAAATTTAAATTTAAAGAGAAGAAAAAGAACCCCATTAATGTGCAAAACCACTATCAAATTGACATTGCCCAGAAATGGTATAGTTACTGTAATCAAGGGGATATATTAAATATTGAGGTATTTTTTACTATTAAACTTACCTATGGGATTTCTGTCAAAAAACAACACAGGAGCTTTCAAAATGGATTGAAACATTTTGTTGTGCAAATTCTGACCAGAATTGACAAGAACTTGAAACACCAGAAGACTTCTGATTATGCCAAATAGTATTGTAGCCACTGTTAAACCTGAAATTAAAAAAACATAAACAGAGCATACATAAAGATATGAATCCTTCAGAAGGAAAAAAAACCCCAAACATAAAACTGAACTAAAACCAAATTCTCTTGTCTTCTGCATATAGCAAGAATGCAAACTTAAGCCTAGGGGGACTCAGACTGAATGCAGAACATAGATATACTTGTCACTAGCTTCAGTTACTATCACAGAATCAGTTTAATCAATTTCTCTTTCTCAGTTTAAAAGAATTGGTATTTTATAGGAATATAGGAAATGTTCGCTAACCCATGAAATAAATCTGAATTAAAACTCTCTGCATAACAGCCTTACTAAGAAATTCATTTCACAGTGCCATGTATAATTGTGGCTTGCAGAGGTCACTGTGAAGATTCAGCATTTGCCAGCAGGTATTAACCAAGTAATATACACATGGCTATTTAGAGACAACCTTGAGTTACTCCCAGTCAGCCAAAACCATTCATGCCATTCTTCCTCTTGTAAACCACACCAATTCATTTAAATTACGTGTATTTCTTTTAACATTTTATAACATGCACTCTATGCCGTGTGAAAAAAGAGCCCTTCCGGGGAACTAGCCTGCAGTCTGTCTCTTTTCCGGGCACAACTCCACTTACAAAACGGTGCTACAGGGCAAAAAATGGAAACAAAGAACGAGATTGCTGCTGCTTTGTTTGCTGTGCATGATCTCCAGTGTGGCTATCCAAATTCCCTGTCAATAAAGGTGAACAGTGAAGGTGTCAACCTTACATCCAGCAGTGCTTCAAGGCTCCAGGTGATCTGCTTCAGAAAATAAGCATAGCTACCACAAGCCCAGATGCTCAAGCCTTGAGGACACCCTGAAGTTAGACCCTATCAACAGAAAACATGTCCTATCCTAAGGGAAGGCTAAAACTGGACACAATTCAAGAACAGTTATAGTAACAGTGGTAAAGAGGGAGGTTTAAATTATGTGATGTGATTAAGTTATTCCATCCCCCTTCCTTCTGTATCCACACAGGGAGCAAGAAAACGTGTCACTATTTCATTTCTCTGCTTGCAGTTTATTGCTTACATTCTGTAAGATGCTGTCTTTAGGAAAAAAGCACATGGCTGTGATGGGAGCTTCTTTGCCTTGTTCCAACTCCCTTGTCCCAGTAGAGGAAGAAGGTACAAGACAACTTTTCCAAAAGTAACTGCATGTACCAAAACAGGAAAGCTGGGTCATGCAAAAAAAGGAGCAGGAAAGGTACATAACAAGAGGCTGTGGCGCAGCCCATTCCTAAGAGCAGTCTGTGGGAGCAACTGGAGGAGAGGGACCACATCCTGGGAACCCTACATTTCCATACAACTTTACTCAGGCTTGGAAGCCACTGAAAGCTGTTGGTATGATCCACACAAACCAAAACACCTTAACAGACCTAACGGCTGGGGAGACATATTTTTGACAAATGAGACTTTTAAGTCCTTCACCAGGTCCATCTTAAGCCAAAGGTTTTTGCTTTCACTATTTATGAGCTTAGAACCTCTGTAGGGGAGAGACGAGGGCCCTCTGAACATTCACTTTATAAAAAAGGTATGGAATTGGTACCTCAGCTCTGGCCAACAGGGTTTCCCATTAATAGAAATTTTACTCTTCCAAATCTTCGTCTTAGAATAAAAACAAGAACTAGGAAAGAACTACGGTAGTGATTTTTTTTTCCCCCACCAAATATTGGGACTCAGAAATAAAAATGTTAAATTATTTTATACTGTTTCAATTTTGTGTAAGTCAGTCAATGCTGTTTGTTCAACTATTGCAAGTATCTCACTAAGTCACCTGAACATTTCAAGATAAAGATACCTTCTGTTGTTTTGCTATCTAGAATAATTTAAGCCTTAAAGGATAAAATTTTCTGTAATGTGGTTTAGACTATATGGTCAGAGAAAGTCACATTTGCTATATTCAATCATACTGTGCAGTCCACAGGAACAGTTCACGAAATAAGACATTACACAGAGTAAAGAAGAGCCAAGTTTATCTGGTCCCTAAACTGCTGCTTCCCAGGCTGAGCGCAGTGTTTTCTGTCAAGCACTTAGATCATGTGGATTCCAGAAAACAAAGCAAACAGAAAGTCTTCCACATATTCTCTCACCCATGAAGCTGTTTCTGAATAAATTCAGTGGATATCCTTCCGGCATTTCACCTGTTTGCTCACACCAATCATTTACAATTCCATCAAGAAATTACCACTCTGTACAAAACCATACATCACTAGGAGTGCTAAATAGCAGAGTCTGAGAGCATGCACATGATTTTTCTGTAGCAATTTTTACTGTATCTCAGAGCAGTATTTCAAGATGTTTGGATGCCTGAATACAATGATCAACACCCTTTTCTGAATATTCAGAAGCATATATGGCTACCTATTGAAATACATTTAAATGGTTTTTTAACAACCTGGTTTGCATACCCACATAGAATGCTTTTTAAAAACTGGTTCTTTTGCTATGGCACTTCAGAAGGAACGTAGCCATGCCAAGTTTTAGAACAGCACAGAATGAAAATCCATTTCTAATGTGTCCTGCCCATCCATATAATGACTGAAGATTTACCTCAATTAATATAGACAATAGCCACAACCTTACAGTGACTGACTTTCTGAATACTCAATTCTTACTTTATAAAATCTAGGCAAAGTAAATTAGAGTCTGAATGCAACCTACTTCTTCTGTCAGATTTTTTGATTTTTAAACTCTATTTATTGCAATTAATTTTATCAGGAAGCAACACTCAGGTTCCTAATCTGTTAAGACATTGCTCAGCTGCTGCTAGAAATCACGTTCCCCCACACTGCCACTGCTTCATACCTCTCAAAACTCTCTATTACAATAAATCAGACAATAAATAGTTCTTAGACACACACACACACATGCATGTGTAAATACCTGCATAAATTCCCAAATAAAAGTTAAGGTCTAGATGTTGAGTCCCATTTGTTCCATTATTTCCATTTGTTGTGAGATTCAACTTTTCTTGACGATTTGCCCTGTGGAAATGCATACAGAAGATAACCATCATCAAGTAAGTATTTTTACTTCTTTCTAGATTCAATTCTGTCAAAATCTTCAAAAAATCTCATGTATCGATGCTGTCATGCATCACAACACGAGTAAATGCAGTGACAGTTTACACTTAGCGTAAGATTCAGTTCCTCCCTCGCCCCAGAAAAAGAAGGCGGCAGAGGAAGATCAAGTGTCATTTGAAGTTTCCTATAACAGGTTCCCTTACCACAAAACCCCATACAACACTGATTTCTATTAAACAAACAGCCCTTGACTGGCAGAAATGACTGGTCAGTTATTATTATCAACTTACCAGTAAGAAAGCCACCAGTCTTGGAGCACATAGGCCACCTTAAGCAAAAGAGACAAACACAAGAATCATCTCACAAAATGGAAAAAAATTAGAAAATTAAATTTCCTTGCTATTCTTTCAAGCTCTCTGGGAAAACATCACATATTCAGGAAAGTATGCCATCCAGTCTTTCAAGACCAGCAGCAATTTGCCAAGCACATTAGAAGGTGCTCTACAAAGAAAGAAGTTACCTTAAATTACCTTACATGATAGCAAACTAAAGGAAAGCAATATACTTTAGCAAACAAAATATAGTAGCTCTTCCTCATGTATGTTAATTGCACATTAAAGAACTCATTTTTTCAGTTCCTAAATTTGCTACTAGAGATATTCCAAAAGGCTTTTTGATTAACAAACTTTCAGATGTCACCAGTCCAGAAATTTGTGTTTACGGGAGATAATGACCAGAAAAAGGGTTGAAGGAGGATGAGAGAGAAGAGGGAGGGAAAAACTCCTACTGTCACCTTCCTTCTCTGATGGGAGGTGACTACGAACTTGTAAAAGGGTTATTTATCTCAACATACACCCCTGTTCATGTGAATTTGAAGTTGTGAATGTTCTATTACAGGGATCCGATCTTGTTTTGCTATCTTTCCAACAGACTCAAATCAAGGACAAGGAAAAATTAAGTAACATGTTAAAATATATATATTTTTTTTTTTACAACCCAGCCAAATAATTTCCGTTAAATGAATATGAGCTTTTCTCAGCAGGAAACAAAGAAAAAGGTAGTAAGGTATCTTCACGCAGCTTCCTCAACTCACCACTTCTTTCAGTAAGTATCAAAATAGTTTTCCTTGTTTAAAAATTCTTTTACATACCTTCTCCAGTCTGCATTACACAAAGTATTTGCTTATCCTCTTCCTCACTTTCCTATTTTGCTAAACAGTGACTCTCCTTCTAGCTCTTCTCATAACCTGCACCTACCAGCAGACAAGCTGTTCTCTGAACACTTCTGTCAGACTCTCTACTCCCATACCCAATAAACCTCTTTACCCTCCTCAAATGGAAACATGATGACTGTTTAAGGTTTGCTGAATGCTACTTTATACACCTTATGATTTTCTTCTCTGTCTCAAAAACTCAGACCAGCTTATAATTTGTGTCATGCTGTCATCAAAATCATTATTTTACTGAAGTACTAAAGCTGTTGAAGTGCAAGACTTCTCAATGTTGTACCAATATTCCACGTTGACACATAAGATTTGACTGAGTACACTACAGAATTATTAAAGAACACAACACTCATAAAGCACTTTAAATGTAACATCACAGTAAAAAGTATACATTACATCAAAAAAAAAAATTAAAGGAAAAAAGGGGGAAGGGAGCAAACCAAAAATACAATATTATTGTATTAAAATATTAATATTATTTGTGGTTCCCAACAACTTACCTGTGCCAGAATATTGAATAGTATGAGTATAAAAATCACAAAGTAGTTTGCTCCTGCGGTGAAATATTTTCTATAAACTTTAAAGCTAATTTTTCCCTCATGGCGACTTTCCTCTGGCACTGCAGCCACTGTATTTTCACCCTGTTAAAAAAAAAACCCACAGAATAAAACACATCAACATTCCAGTTACAGATTCAGACTAAGCCACTTAAAAGTAATGGTTCAGAATTAGCAAACGATTAAACAAGGAGATAAAATGATTATGCACTAAAAACTTTAAAGATTGAACTACAGGTTTGACCAAAAAAGATACTCTCAGTGCAGTAATACTGAAAAACCTATTCTGCAAAGCAACACTGTGAGGATTTTATTTGGCATCGCATCATCAAATATAACAAAGCTTCATATATAGCCAGAAATATGTATTCTGATCACTAAACCAGTTTTCTCTTATATACTACCTTCACTCACAACAGCTCCAGAAACTACGGCCTTTGCCTGGGGAAGATTCTGTTTTCAGAACGCAAGTATGTGCAACTCTTCCTTTCCAGAAAAGTATTTAAAGCAAATACTCTTCTGCAAGTATGTACCAAGATCAATCAACATATGCCAGGGACTTAAAAATTACCCATAAAGTTCTAATCATCTCCTTTTAAGTACCAACAAAGCATCTGTTAGTAGGGAAAATGGCAAATAAGAAATCATACTAGGCAAACAATGGATGGGGAACAACGAGCAGTGGAATCAACAGACCTGACTCAGATGTGAAAAGAGGAATCTCACTTACCTGCCCATATAAGGTGAGAAGCCTATCTTGGGTCTTTTTTTGTATCTCCACCCCCTCCCCCTTCCCACTTTCCTCCAACCACACTCAACAGTTCTAATGCCACTAAAAATTCTGGTACATCTGTGCAAATTTAAGAGAATTTAAGAGTGGAGTTGCCACTGGGACATTAATATAAGTTTAATCCTTTTGAGTATAAAACCATTCGTCAAAAAACCCTGAAAAAGTCTGTAGCTTTTTTTATTGGGTTGTTTTCGTTTTTTTTTTAAATCTCATTGCTTTTCATTATAGGGAAGAAATGTTATATACCTATAGCATAAAGATAACAATCATCACAGATATAGAGGGACTACTTGTTCCATGGATGCAGTGCTAACCCAAGCCTAGCTGGGTTACAGGGATCATGCGCTGTTCCATGTGTATGCAAAGGCACGAGCAGAAGGCCACCTCTGGTACAGAAATTTTAGGGCTGGTTTTGCACTGTGCAGACCCAAGAGATATTAAGTCACCTGGAAATCATATTGGCACCATACAATGCCTTCTGTTTTCACCAGCAAAAGGGCTGGGGAGAGCAAGGCAGTGGTGTACAAGGGTTACCCCCTGAGGGCCAGCTCAAGATCATGTGGGTATGTTTATGCATATGTTAATGCCAGACAGGCAAATGTAGACTTTGCATAAAGCTAAGGCTTCTGCACGCACTTCCCAGAACTCAGGATTTCAAAGAAAGTGTTAATTTCAGTTCACCACTGCACCAACACAGAGAACCTGTGAATACAGTGGGCTAGCCCTTTAAAGCACTGCTGTCAGGCTGAAGGAAGCCCAGTGTGGTGTCTTTGGACACTTAGAGGGAATGCTTCCAGCATCCAGCAGAGCTGATGAACTACACAAACTGACTCTGCTGGGTTTGAACACAACGGCACAGAGTTGTGGGTTGCCAGCCAAGCACAGCTGGGCAGGTCCACTGTGGGCGAGCTCTCACCTGATAATACAATTCAATAATCCCCGATATTCCAATGCTGCAGGGAAAGCCCATACCAAAATTTAAGTTAAAAACCAGTCAGACAAGAATTGAGACACATCTATTCTTTGAGCACTCACAGGTGGTTGTTCCACTGCTCCGTCTTTCTGTGAGTGCACAGACGAATCCTGGGACCAGACAGAGGACTCCGAGAAGGTTCGGTTCCGGGAAGACTTCAGGTTGGGGGTTCCTGGAACTGATGGAGGTTCTATCTCCTCATCTTTTTTCAAAAGGGAAGCAAAGTCGATGCCAGATCTCAGGAACTCTGCATACGTACCTTTCCCCACCATTTTACCCTACAATTAATATAAACTTTGATTATCTTCATTATACACTTCCCGTAAAGGACAATTTTTCCTATCTGTCCTTGCCGTCTCTGGGGTTCTGCAGTTGCTGAGCATACGTCCTACTGCAGTAACTGAGTTGAAACCTCTGTTGGTTTCTCATTTAGAAGCTCTAGGCTCTAACCAGTCCCCTCCTGGCAGCTAAGCTGGCCAAGGAGCGCACAAACAGCATGACAAAATCTCCAGTTACAGCCAGGGGGAGAATCACCTCCTTGGAGAAGCTGTGGGTGACAGCCAAGACATGCAGCTTTAGGTCAGTCTACTGCACTACATACATAACCATCAGTCTTTTTGTATTACTACAGTCTAGGGGTAAAACACCTTCATTTCCTGGTCCTGGTTCATTTCACAGAGTCCTGCAAGGTGCAACAGTGATCATTTCCATACTTTTTACAGCTCTATGACAAACTCATTTCTAAAGAGCTGTTGTAACTTTTAAAGAGACCTGAACAGGAGGAAAAAGATGGTAGTGTCCTTTACTACACCTTTGTAATTCATCGAAAGTAATTTCATGTATTTCACTACCAACCTTTAAAAAGAAAGTGAAAAAAAACCCAAACTGCAGTTCTCCCATTTCCCCTCTACCTCTGAGTATCTGGTACAACAAAGTTTGGAAAGAACCATCACAACGAAGACCTGCTCATTCTAAAAGGCATCTGGGACCATTTCTCAGCCTTAATTTAAAAACTAGTTTGTTGCAAAATTAATGTACTTCTTAATTCACACATAAGTGTAAGAAACAAGAATAAAAGCAAAGCACTAACACAGTCTCAAAATTTCCTCACAGTATATTAAACTTGAAGCAAAGGAAATTTAAAACACTACTTCAAAACAAGACAAAATGTTTGAAGAAATAAAGAGATTTTTAAATCACATCAAAATCAGTACATGAGATTATAGTTATGCATGATAAAATTCCAAAACAGATTTTTCAGGGAAGATATTTCAAGAAAAATCAACTTATTTCATTAATAACTATAAAACTTTAAAAACATATATACTCATTCATAGACAGAAAATATATTCACAAATTAAAAATAAAAATCTGACTAAAAATTCTTACATTAAAAAGTGTAAGTACAGACACTGAAATCACTTACATCTTTTAAAATTAGAATCTGATTTGCAGCACGGAGATATTGCAACTGATGAGTGACCAAAACAGAGATCTTCTGATGTAAGGCCTGACAAATACATCTGCAAAGAGATGTAAAAATTAATTTAAAAAAATAAATATCCTAAAATATTTTTATTATTGCTGGAAAACATCTTCTATTGTATGACAAAGTTTTTAAAATAAGAAGATGGCCATGCACTATTACTGGATTTATAAAAGCTAGACTTCACAAACATGTTTCTTATTTAAGTTTTTAAGTTTTCAAGACAGGGAGAGGAAATTTCATATTTCTGATCTGGAATAACAGACGAGGAAGTAAGATGTTTCATTAAAATTGTCTTAGATGTTCTCATTACCAATGTATATGTCATAACCTGAATTGCAAAGAGGGCATTTAAAAAAAAGCCTAAACTAAAGGCAAGAGAAAGCAGGGCAAGATACCATGGAAAATTATGGACAAATACAGATAATAAAAGTAACTTCTTGAGAGGAGTTTCAGAGCAGCTGTAACACTGAGCCACAAAGAGTTCTGGAGAAGTAAACAGTACTACTGACTTAAGCTACATCCAGGTACGTATTGAGGTAAAGAAGTGAGATTCTTGAACCATCTATGACCCTTTCTCATGGATTCAGAGTTTACCTTCCTATCCACTACCTTACCAACAGTTTGGGATTTGGAGAGAGAGGTGAAGAAGGGACTGGGCACACTAGAACCATCAGCAAGTGTAGGTGAAACCCATGAAGTTTTAGTAGAATACACACCTTGTGTCTTTTCAGTAGAGCCTTGAAAGGACACCAGTTCCACAAAATAAAAACAAAACACAACACAAAACCACAGCAGTAGTTTTATGAACTATACAGAAATGCTTTAAAAGTGGAGAGATCTGTAAGCACAACAGGGAGAGCACAAATACAACTGAGATCCAACACTACCAACACTCATTGCCTTCATCCTTCACAGTAACAAAGTAGGGAGACAAACCCTCTGAGGGGACAGCTCTTTCTCAACTACTCACTGTCTTAAGAAAACAAGGAAAACTGACACTGTCTAGGACTTAAGTGTTCATCGACACATTAGCATCTTTGTCTGTATTATGAATGGCTTCTTTACAGAATCATGGAATGGGTTAGGTTGGAAGGGACCACAGTGGGCCATCTGGTCCAAAATTCCTGCCCAAGCAGGGCGGTCCTAGAACACATGGCACAGGACTGCATTCAGACAGTTCTCGAGTATCTCCACTGAGGGAGACTCCAGTGAGTTGCTGCTCATGCTGTTGAGTGGCACTGGCACCCATGAACTGGACTTCTAGACAAAATCAAGCAGAAAGACACACTCTGGCAGCACCCCTCTTCAGTACTGAGCTGAAGTATGCAGCCTGCAGAACTTTCTGAACCACATGGAGACCTTGGCACCACACATTTTTCTGCACAGGTCCACTTCTCTTGGCTCATTTTTGCTAACATATTAACTCCCATTCGCTAACTTGACACAGGAGTGTGGCACTTAACATAAAAGAAAAGCAAACAAAAGCGTGTGCACACACAAATTCTCTCTCCATCTTCTCCAAAACAAGCCCCAGCCAAAACTACGGCCGTTCAGTAGCAAAAATTCAATGTAGAAATGCAGTAAAGGGAGTAAGGCAGAAAAAGAACGTGACCTTAACAGCAATGATACCACATTCCTTACTGTGTTTCATACATTCAATTAACTCCCCACACAGTTTTTAACATCTATGTTGTCACTCCTACAAAGACTGTAGGAAGCAGACAGTTAATATTATTAATTAGTATAATTACATACAGAAAGTATATCATAGTTTTCCAAATAAACTGGGTAGTAAAATTAACTTAAAGACTCTTCCTAAAAAAGTTATATGCTTGATACGCAGCATTCAAGATGCAACTATAAAACCACAATATTCTTAGATGGCCAAGATAACAATTAATCAAAGCATTTGCAGCAGCATGACTACTTGAGCAGCTGCAATTATTTATACACAAAGTTCTTCATGGGAGCATTACTATCGCATGGTTACTGTCCACCCTCTGAACCGTCACTGAAACAAACCACAAGGTAAAAAGAGCAACAGCTGAAGACATCCAACAAAACATAATGTTCCACAAAACCTACAGAGAGAACTGGACAAACATCAGAGAGACTACAGGAAAGACCTAGCAGGAAAGTTGCCAAAAGAGAATATATCAGGTATTCACTGAGGAGTTATCTATCTTTCCCTTACGTAAGTCCCACAGCCCATATACCACTCCAATCACTGATTTTTCTTTGTGCCAGGTGTATGTCTAACAGCTTACTGGGGCAACCTTACCATTAGAAAATCCAATGGCTCAAAAGCCTGAAATCTTGCTCCTGAGCCACAGCGAGCCCACTGTACTTTACATTTGCACGTGAAGAGGGGTGGGGAAGAAGAGGAAAAAAAGTGGGTTATCACAGCATCGGAGAAAAACCAATCAGAATTGTGAGAGCTGTAAGCACAGCATCCTGGGTGATCTTGATCACAAAAGAGAAGGCAAAAAATAACCTCTGTGGAAATTCGTATTTCCACTGAGATATCAGTTCCCTCTCGCAACAATTCACTGGCATGAGCACAGACATGAAAAACTGCAACAAAGAGTGTATACTAAGATCTATTAAACAACTCACTACGCAGACAGCTCAATAGAAAATTTTGCCAATTAACATACTGTGTCATTGTGAAGCACAGAAGCTGAAAAACTAGTAAAACACTAAGTAAATACTTAACATCTGTTTCAAAACATCTAACCATTTGAGTTCTATGTTCAAAACCGGTTTTTAACTTTTTTTTTTAAATATTCTGTCTCCCATTCAACAACATTCACTCTGCAGCTTAGTGTGAGTATTAACTTTATACAGTGCCTTGGCTACCACAGAAGACTGAAGCCAAAGTTCAACCCTGGGGTTAAAAGAGAGGCTCAGTACCCCTATAACTGCTACCACCTTTTTACTTGCTGTTTAAAACCCTACAAAATTCACCTTTCTTGTACTTCTCTATTACTCTCAAGAGGCATACTCAGTCTGTGAGCACATTTAATGAATAACAACAGGAAAAATTACTGCACAAACTCCAGTCGCCTTTGCCAACTTTATTACACACACAAATGCACACGCACGTGTGCACAATCAGAAAAGATCCAGACAGAGAAGACCCAAAGGCTCTTCAGCCTTTCTTGAGTACAAGAAAAAGGGAGATGAAGGGACTACGACAGTTGCATCCTCTTCCCCAAGGAAGATGCAATTTAAACTTAAAAGTATTCCTGGCAGATGTTAAATGGGTTGCTCTGCATGTTTAAGTTCAACAAAAATTTCAACATCCTTGAAAATGTATTCCAGACGCAAGCTACCTTTGCCATTACACAATTCTACTCAGAAGTCCAAGTTTGCATCCTTTGGTGCCATTTCAATACACTATTTCCTGAAGGTCAGTAGATGAGTTTATAGATTAAGTCTTTCCCCTCCAGAAATGAAAGAAAAGCAAATTTAAAAAAAAAAAAAAAAAAAAAACACCACAAAAAAAAGCCCTCCAAATGCACTTTTTTTTTAAAGTAACACATGGTTTTCTGAGGTTTTTTAATTCTATTCCTCCCTGCTCTGGGAGTTGAATGTTCTTGACCACCTGCACTGATGTGTGAAGCTGGTCTGCATTTTTTGGAAGTGCACAAAAATGAAACTTTATTTCAGCTGAGACCTTACACCTACAAAACCTAACAGGAGGATTACTTTACTTGTACTGCCAGATACACCACTGGTCATAAATCCCAGGGCACAGTTTCCTTAAGGAGAGCATGATGTTGTTGAGTCATACTGGATTTTTGATCTATCACACTCTACACTTGCTTTTCCATAAACCTACTGATCCTTGCTCATTGTGTGCTCATGGACTCAACACTTCACACTTATCCCTTCTGCATGCATGCGTCTGTTAATTCACATCCTGTAACCAAGACTTCCCAAATCCCTCCAGAACTGCCTTTAGCATTGCCCGGTTTTCTACCCCCGAAAATATAGCACAAATTACCTTCATACATCATCAGGAATACCCAGAATCAGGACAGACCTCTCCACAGACTACACTCTTCCAATTCAACAAAAACAAACAAACAACCCAACAAACAATATTTTAAGTTAACAAACCTCAGTAACAGTATACTATCACCCATTTAGAAAAGCCAACTGCACTTTGACAGCAAACTGGTATACAATTAAAAAAAACTAGCTTGAGCTTTGATAATGCAGAGCATGAAGTAGGAGACGCTGAGAAGGAGGCCTACAGCAACACAGTGCTCCTCTGTGCAAAGGCAGTCTTTGCGCTTTCGAATCCTGATTTATTCTCCCTTCGCTATCAGGTTTGCTTTTCTTTGAGACAAGTTGTTCTTTAATCTTTTTTAAGTTTTTATCTCCAAGAACCAGCTTTCTTTCACCTCTGCAAAGTGTCTCTTTAATGATTCTACTTTCTTCCTTACCATTCTGTTACCCACTCCTTTTGGGAAGTTCACATGCCAGTTTAACTTTACTCTAGTAATACTTATATTCATTTCAATGAAAATAACAACTGAAATGAAATTAAAGCACATGCAGAAAGTGCTCACAGGCATAAAGCCTTTGTTATACTCATTTACTTCCTATGTTTGCTTTCCTCTCCCTTCCCTTTCTATTTCAGTGGCTTAGGGAGAACAATCCCCCAGTTGTTTTTGTACATTTCAAAATTTAGAAAAGTAAAAAAAAAAAAGAAATAAATGTGATATGTTTGCCAGAGACAAAAAAATGCACATGCCTACTTCTACTGTGTTGCCTCTATTTCTACTATGCTGCTTCTATTTCTTTGCTTATCTTGATAATCATTTATCTCCATCTCATGACAAGTCTCCACTGAACTAATGCATAACAATAACTGGTCCACAAAATCCATTGCCCTGTTCTGGGCATGAGGTAGCACTGGATGGCTGGAGAAGGTATACAAGCAAACATAGAGTGATGCTTCCTCTGGCACACATTTCCAGCTTACAAAGCATTGGGAATTTTTTGAGCCAGTGATTCTTGTTA